AATTCTAAATTCTACATGAACTCAAACCCTGCAGAGAAGCTGTCAGGGGGACCTATTATCCAAATAAAAGTGATTTTCCCTGGGTGTTAGAGTGACAAGTGATTTTAATGTGTTCCTTTATAATTTTCCTAGATTTCTACAGAGTGTGTATACCTTTTATGGGAAGGAAGAAAGTAAATATTATTGGAAAAGTGCAAGTGTGATGTGTCATTTGCCAAAATAAATACATTTTGCAGTCGCCTGTGTAAATAAAAGCCTTGTCACTTGTCCTTACAGAATAAAGTAAGATTTAACTCTGCCACTCATTGATGTGGCTTTCTTTTTGATATTTATAATGTTTCCCTTGAGTTCTATTTAAAATGATTGATTTGGTGCATTTAAATTGATGTCTTACTTTATAGTCCCCGAATCCTTTTTTACAGTATCTGGTCAGGGGCAAGTGCAGAGAGCTGAGTCCCCAAGAAGTCATAAAAACTTGAGCAAACTTGGGGCGTCAGTTGGTTAAGCGGCTGCCTTCGGCTCGGGTCATGATCCTGGAGTCCCGGGATCGAGTCCTGCATCGGGCTCCCTGCTCGGCGGGGAGTCTGCTTCTCCCTCTGACCCTCTCCCCTCTCATGCTCGCTCTCTCTCTCTCTCCCCCAATAAGTAAATAAAATCTTAAAAAAAAAAAAACTTGAGCAAACTTTTCCCCCTTTAATGAGTGTTCTATAAGCCATTGATACTTGACTGATTTCTTAATAGTTAACATTCATGGACTCTTCTTTTTCCTTCCCAGGAAAACTATGCCTGATTACATTTTTGAGCTGGAATGATTTTCCTGAATTTATAGATGAACGAAAACAGGAAACGATTTTCATGTGACGCACATGCTTTAGCTTATTAGATCGTTTCTTCTTTGAAATTATATTGATGCAAAAATGCAGCACATTCTATAAAAACCCGCTACATTGGAACGTTAGCTGTGAAATGTTTGTGGAATATCACGGGGAAGCTGTTAAGTCTCTTTTTGAAGTTTCTTAGGTTTTAAAATTCCTGTGTTCTCTTTTAATTAGCTTGCTATTGTTAAATTAAAACTTTCAAGAGAGCCAAGAATTGATGGTTATTTTTAGGACATGCTCCAAATTCAAATATAGTAAAGTCTGGCTTACCTTTGCAGTGGGCTAACTATGCTCCCTAATACGGCAGCCGATACGACTTTTAAATTAAAATTAATGAAAATGTAAATTGAAATCCTCTTTCACACTAGCTGCATTTCAAAGGCCCAGTAGCTACATGTGGCTGGTGGTTACTGTACTGGACCGTGCAGGTCTAGAAAGTTCTACTGGACCTTGCTGGTCTAAAGATAATTCAAAACAGGTAAAAACCCCTGATAATTTCTGGTTAGCTCTAGAATACTATCTTGTGAGTGTTCTTCCCCACCCATTTTCTTCCTAACAAGACTGCTTGGCTTATACTAAAATTATTTCACTGTCTCTGAATAGTCTCCAAATGATAGGAGGAGGCAGAAAAGAATTAACAGGGGAGGATGCTTGTTCTGTTAAATTACTTTCAGATAAAAAAAGAAAAATTTCTTTCAGTTAAACAGGTAATCTGAATGCAGAAAAATAAACCGTTAACACTGAAAAAAGCTCTGGTAGGTTCATAGAACTTTAGATTTGGGGAAAAGGGCCCAATGATTACATCTAATCAAGCTTTCATGAGAAGTTTGAAGGAACAGAGAGGTCAAGTAATTTGCCTAGGTCACACAGCTAGATCGTGGCCTTGTTACTCTCCCAAGTTACTTACTATAATTGTGTTGCTCAACAACTTTAGAGGGGAGAGGAGCCAATTAGAGTGGGATTAACTTTACATAGGATCACAAGTGTATTGTAAAAAACAGGAAGTTACCCTTTAAAAACCCAGCTTTGTGAGCTTTCTTTTCATGTCTTTAAAAAAAAGGTACTTTCATTAATAGAAAGTTTTACCTTTGGTCTTGAAACTAATATATATTTTAAGAAGCAAAATGAAATATGCTTCCTTTTAAAAGTAGCCCTTTTTGGGGGGTGAGGGTGTTGGAGGCAGGAAAAGGATTTACTTTCAAAATCCTGTTTTCATTTTGCAGAGCTTCTGGGTCAGTTTTCACCAGTATTTGCTACCCCCTCAAAGTCCATCGGAAGTAAATTTCTGTGGACGGGTTTGTCATTCCCCTATTTAACCTGATTTCTCCGGTAATGTTTATTTCCAGAGGCACTGCCTAGGTTCCATGCGTTGCTGAGAGCGAGCTGTGGAAAGGGATTTATTCTAGGAAGCTGCCTCCAAGCTGTGAAGAGATCGCGCCTTGTTAATGTCGGGGGGACTCCTGGGTTGTTTGCACCATGTCCTGTGGATTGTACTTTTGAAATACGCTGTGCACTTGTTTGCTTGTTTTGTACCCAGACCTTCGTCCACACGGTCCTGATTCAGTCGTGTCCCTGTCTGTCCGTCTGTCTGGCCGGAGCGACTTTTCTGGAACAGATCAATCAGATCATTGCACTCCCTGCGTTGAATCCTGCGGTGTCTACTCCTGCCCGCAGAGTTGGGGTCCTCGCTTTGGCAAACCATTCTCCTCTCCTTGGGGTTCGGCCTTGAGTCTGTTCTGCTAGCACGTTCTCCGATCCTGCCCCCCAACCTCGTGGTGGTCTCTGCTTCTCTCTGTGTTTCTAGTGTTCCCTGTCGCTGACCAGCTTGTAAGGGGTCAGTGCGTGCCCCCAGTGGGGATGCCCTCTGTTCCAGGCCGTCTGTGATACTCTGTTGGCTCCACGTGCCCCCCCCCCCCCCCCATTCAGCTGCTTGTCCTTCTGCACCGCCCCCCCCCCCCTGGAAATGTCCCCGACAGACTCCATTGGACATCCGTGAGGGAGGCAGTGTTTTGCAGAGGGTGCTGCGTCTTCCTCTGGCTGCCCCTGTTGTTGGTGGGCGTGGTGTCCCCGTCTAGGTGATCGGGTGATCCACAAACTCAACACACACGCTTCTGTCATTGCGGGCAGGTGTGTGTTGTCTGCTGCGTGCTCCCTGTGCGTGTTCTCGCACTGGGTGCTTGTGGGCTGTTGGGTCTCTGGTGGGCTGGCCACACTCGCTTATCAACAAGTGAGTTCTCTGCAGATGGCATCGGCCATTGCTCCTGGATGCTGGTGGCGCTGGAGACACACTGGTGAGTACCATCACCTGCTGTAACATCCAGGCCCAGGGCATGAGAACTTGCAGGGAGCCCTGGCGACCTGTCCCTCTCCTGCCTGGTCAGCTGCGTGCAGCCCCGTGGGGAGGAGATCTCCAGAACCATGGATCCCCACAAATTCCCGTGTCTGTGTCATGATAGGACTCGGAAAAGAGTGTTCTTATTAGGAGAATACAGTTCTGCCTGTCATCATGTGCGTTATTTTAGCAAACTGATGTCGCTGGGGTAAAATTAGCCTAAATGTGCAAAGTGCTGGGTTTGCCAGTGCCCTCTGTTTTAAAGCATCTTGAAACCCGTCTATCTGTTCCATGGGTTCCTTTAGTCTTTCATTTAAAAAAATATTTTAGAAACACTGAGTTTCTATTTAGGTTTAAGTCGTTCGTGTGTGCACCCAGTTTCCTTGCACCGTTGGTCTTAGATGCTGCTGCTGGAGGGCGGGGTTAGGACTCTCTCGCCTTGCTTTCTCGGCCCCGCGCAGCGCTCCGGGGAGCATGTGGTGTTTACCGATCCTTAATGTGGCTTTTAAACAAACCCAAGAAGCCATTTCAGCCTTTTAGTCAGTGCTTTTCCTATTTTTTGGGACAGCCCTGCCTTACATTGTATCTCTGGTCCTGACTTCTCCTCAGACCACACAGCCTCACTTTGCTTCAGAAAATAGGAAAAGCTCCTGTGCTCAGAGACTGTGAGATGAGTAAAAGATAATCTCCTGGTTGGTTACGTTCGCCTGATAATGTGTCATCTCATTTGCTTATTCATGTACTTACATCTTCGTACCAGCAAGATGCATAGGTTGCTGCTGGAAGAAGCAGTCGAGATATTTCCATGGTTCCTATTCTAAAATAGGTATTTCCTTTCTTTGTATTTTGATTGAGAAATGGCTTTGTATCCCTGCCCCCACAGCGTCTGCCATAGTATTTTATATAAACAGGTGGCTAATAAATACGTGCTGGGTTAAGTTCCCATGCTGTGTACCTGGTACCTTGCCCATCTCCTCCTGGTAGAGTTTTCTGTCTTCTTCCTGCAATTGCACAGATGACTAACACCCTCTTAGGAACCTTTAATTTTGACCACCCCTCCAAATAATTTTCCAGGAAGGCAAAGTGAATAGCACCAAAAGAGGTGTGTGCATGTGAGAGTGTGTGTGTGCATGCGTGCGCACGTGCGTGTGCAAGTAGTTGGCGGTTTAAAACGGGGTGGTATTCTTAAAAGGTATCTTACTGTATGTGAGTGACAAAATATTCTATTTATAGGTGTAGAGGCAGTATGCTTTTCTTCATCCGTCCTTGCCCTTTTGCTGATTTAATCTTTCATCTACGCGTGCAATAAAAGTAGATGTTGAATGAGTGAAAGATTTAAAAGCCCCGCATGGCTGTGTCTAACCACCAGAGAGGTCAGCGGCGACCCTTAGGGGTTGCGTGTGCCTGGCTCTTTCATGGTAAATGAACTAAATTGTAGGTTCTGTGAGAAGCACCTGTCATTTTACCTGGTTTTCCACCTGTCGTATCAGAATGCAAGTGAGGAATAGCCATGCTATTATAGGAAAAATCTAATTGGTCAGAAAGCACATTGGCAAACGTCGGTGCTTTAACTGGGTCTGGTCGCGCATTGCTCAGGACATGCGAGATGTCTCACCCGTGCGTGGGTATTTTCTGTTATCAACATGACGTGGCATCCTACCTGTTACAGTGACCTGGTAGTAGCTCTGATAGGATGCTGTTATTTTGCGGGGCGGGGTGGGGGGACTTTAAAAACAAAGGAATATAATCAAGGTGCTCTGATTTTTTTTTTCTTTGTTGGTTGTTCTTAGGTAATTCTTGCTGCAGGATGCATTAAGAGAAGAGGATCCTTACTCACTAGGCATGGAGAGCAGCTTGTCAGCATCCAGCATGCAGGACCCTTCCTCCTCACCCTTGGAAAAACAGCAAAACTCAGCGAGTGGTAATGGAGGTCTCGATTCAGGTGGGACTTTGTTTTCTGGATCTCTCTCTGACGTTTTGATTTAGTGAGCAATATCTTCCCGAAAATGTTCAGGAGACAACGGGGTAGACATCTCGAGATCTCTCACACTGCCTGTTCCTAGGATTTGCTGTCATATTTATAAGCATAGAGCAGCTGGAAAGTTACGCAAAGTTTGGCTCAAAATGTAGTATTTCCTATATTAGACGGAGAGGGGTGGGTTGCAGTGAGGTGACAGATCACTTCAGAATCTCAGTGGTTAACAT